GCACTTATCCTTCTGTTAATCTTGCTAACTCTACCACATTGCAATCTTAATTTGAATCTGTTTTTTATTCTCCCAGTCCTCAGGCAATTTTCAAAGATCCTTTCCGTGGTGGTAACAATATTTTGGTAAGGGCTGTTATGCTTGAAATATGTCTCATGGCATGTTGATTGAAATTAAAACACAGATATCATCAAGTTATACTGATACTTGTTTTGTAAAGGTCATTTGTGATTCTTACACACCTGCTGGTGAACCTATTCCTACAAACAAGCGACACAGAGCTGCGGAAGTTTTCAGTAACCCAAAGGTCATTGCTGAAGTTCCATGGTATATATAATTCTTCTTATCTTTACACATAAAATAATTTATTTATATATTTATTTTTGGTTTAGTGTTAATACCAACTATTGTTAAATAACTCTATGGATAGGTACTTGGGTATTATGGGGTGTCCAAATTCCACATTGAGTACTATGATGTGATAGATAATGACTTAATGAGACGTCAATTAAGATTCTGACATGTTTAGTATTTCTTATCTTTTGATGCCTAACCTTAATAGCTAGCTTTTGAGATTGGGTTTTCCAGCGCTTGGGTACTTGCACTGTGATATATGCACAACTTCTATGTGTCATGATTTATGACCTAAAATAGAAATAGATAATGATTTAACGAGCAATAGTGCCAAATAAAATTCTGACAGGTTTGATATTTCTTATCTTGTGATGCCTAACGAAATCATGACTGACCTTTCCTTCATTTGATTACGCTTACCGTAGAAGATCACTGAACTTTGGTCTTGAATTACAATCTTAACAGAAAACATGCTAATGTTTGTATGTTGATTGCTCAAAGGTATGGAATAGAACAAGAGTACACCTTACTTCAAACAAATGTGAAATGGCCTTTAGGTTGGCCTGTTGGTGGCTATCCTGGTCCTCAGGTAATGTGACTTCTTTTATTTCTTTTGGCTTTCATTCACAGTATGGTACGGGGGCCGGGGGGGGGGGGGGGGGGGTGGGGGTTGGGTATGTTTTCTGAGAAATTCAGGTTTTGGGTCTTTCTCACCTATATGTTGTTCAACCTGTTCATTATTACATAATATGGGACTGTCACACTTATCTCCTACTCCATTCAATATGTCAATTTCATAATGAGGATTTAGTTTGTTATGTTTTCATTTTTCAGGGTCCTTATTATTGCAGTGCTGGAGCAGATAAGTCATTTGGGCGTGATATATCTGATGCTCATTACAAGGCTTGCTTATTTGCTGGAATTAACATCAGTGGCACCAACGGGGAGGTTATGCCTGGGCAGGTACATCTCTTGCATTTCCCTTTGTTTTAAGTCCCACTGTCCCATGAATGTCACATCAGTTTTTCTCATTATTTCTTCTATGCATATTGCAGTGGGAGTATCAAGTTGGTCCTAGTGTAGGTATTGAGGCTGGTGATCATATCTGGGCATCAAGGTACATCCTCGAGGTAATTCACTTTGCCTACCTTTCGGTTTACACACACAAACTGTGGACTATTTAACACAAAGGTTAAACTCTTGAAAGAACCGATTCCTAAAGAATGCCATAGTATCTTAATTCAGTGGAGATTTTTGGTTCAATATAATGTCAAAGGTTTTGGCTTTTGTGTTGTTGTTCATGTTCTGGTGAATTTTATGAAGTGGCTCTTTGCTCTAAGCTTGATACATTGCCATTATTTGTGTGCTTACCTGAAAATTGCTCCATATGCTTGTAGTTATGCGTTATTTTCAATGGGCAGTTGTTGCCCATAAATCTTTTAAATTCTTTTCCTCTTTTAGAGGCAGATAAGTAAGGTCAAAGAACACCCTGAATTACTATATTTTTCCAGCTATATTTTTTTTACATTTCTTTAGATCTCTGAAGGTCTTAGCATTCTTAAAAATAAGTTTGATGGCAGGTGAAAGGTTCATGCCACTGCTTGTAACTGAAAATTGTTGATTGTCCCGTGTAAACTATACTTTGTGCTTATTCTCTTGTCCCTTATCCAATTTTGTATCTTCTAATTAAAATATTACATTTTGACATGGCTTGACAGAGAATTACTGAACAAGCTGGTGTTGTGCTCTCTCTTGATCCAAAACCAATAGAGGTACCGCAATGCTTTGATTGGCATCATTGACTATCCTATCATAATTGTACTAATTGTTTTGGTGAAACATAGGGTGACTGGAATGGTGCAGGATGCCACACCAATTACAGGTTTTTGCCCATGCCTCTTTGCATTTGTCTTTTTGTTTACTAAATTACTAAGTTTGTAAAACACATTTGCCTTTTAGTACAAAGAGCATGAGGGAAGATGGAGGCTTTGAGGTAATAAAGAAGGCAATTTTGAATCTATCACTTCGCCATAAGGAGCACATTAGTGCATATGGAGAAGGAAATGAAAGAAGGTTGACAGGAAAGCATGAAACAGCAAGCATTAACACATTTTCTTGGGTAGGTTTTCAAAATTGCCAATAACTATTATTGTTAAGGACTCTAATCAAGTATGAAGCTTTTCTTGTGTGAAGGATACTAATAAAATTGAACTTGCAGGGAGTTGCTAATCGCGGTTGCTCAATCCGTGTGGGAAGAGACACAGAGAAGAATGGCAAAGGTGAGGTCATTTACAACAATTTTAATACAAACGTTTAGACTTGTAATTGGGGACTAAAAAGCATTATCTGGCTTCTTTAGTTTGTTGTGCTTGTGCTGAAGTTGATAGCTGAAATTTCTTCTTGTCTTATCTAACTTTTGAATAATTGCTATTTGCCAATGCAACAACTTCATATACATACTATTAGGCTTATGATTTGATATTCTTGACGTGTTGCAAAATCTCATGCCTTTCTTTCCTACCTGACGTGTTCTTTTAGCAAATTGTCAATGTTTTCTGTTACCACTCGTCTCTTGCTATTTTTTGTTGTTTTTTTTTCTGTTCCAAATATTATATTATACCACCAAACTAAAAATATATAATATCTAAACTTGTCAAATATTGGTGTAGATTAATTATTAATCCTGCCAATCCTCTTGATCATAGGTTACTTGGAGGACAGGCGCCCTGCTTCAAACATGGATCCATATGTTGTGACATCATTACTTGCAGAGACTACACTATTGTGGGAGCCAACTCTGGAGGCTGAAGCTCTTGCAGCTCAGAAGTTATCATTGAAGGTCTGAATTTATTGATTGATGGCATTGTGGATGGAACCTGTAGTTTGTAAGGAGCTGGAAAGCTCTTGCACTTTCCTTTTACATCATTACTTGTTTGGACCAAAGAGGTTGCCATGCCCAGTTATATTGGTTGTCATATGAAATGCACATCGTATATCAGAAGTTTGGTTGGTACTATTTGCTTCTGGACAAAAAGATTTCATTTATGCTTGGCCACATTCAGTGTCCCCTCTTGATTTCTTTGCCTAGAAATAACTGAGCTTTCTTTTTTGATCAAGAGAAAACAACTGAGCTTGTATAGCTCGGAATTGCAGGCATTCAATTTTTCTTACATTACCACTGTTTCTTTGGAGGGGAGACTTGGCTGAATTAAAATATTGAGAACCTTGTAATGAACATGGAACATGAATCAAACCTTGTGTGAAAGGATTTATAGATCTTTCATGAGGTAAACCAGAAAAGGGTGGAAGAGATTACAAGCCATCCTTTGGGTGTGCATTTTAATGGTGATGGAAAATTACCGTGTCATTGTCAGTGAGCATGTTTTTGTGAGCTATACGTAATTGACATTATATTATCCACACAAAAACAATATTTATCAGTAAAACTAAATCATGATAACGAAGAGATATGAAGTGTACATGTACAAGCCACATAATACAAAACATTGAATGATTTGGTCGGTATTAGTTAACAAACCACGTTATATTTTTTAAGAAAAAGTGTGTCGCCTTGACTATAGTTAGCTTCTGTTAATTATAGGTAGTTTCCACCTGTAACCGTTTTCTGAAGTTCGTGTTTTTTTCTCCTTTAATAATGAAGGAATCAGGCCATTCTTGATGATTTTCTTCTTCAATAAAAAATTAAATTAACAAGAAAACTCCTTTCACTTCTTTTGTACGGAGAAGTATGTCAATATATATCTTTAATATTACCAAAATTTAAAATAATTTACAAAATACTAAACAAGAGATTGCAGTAGGCCCAAAAGAAAGAATGAACTGCCAGTAGTGAAAAAAGAGCAATAAAAAGTAGGCAGTTTCTTCCTGCATTTCCATAATTTTTTCTTTAACTCCTTTATAAAAACAATATATCTAGATTTGTGTTTTTTAATTGTATACTTTAAAAACTACTTTTGAAAATAAACAATAACTTTAATATTTTAAACTGTGTAATCTAAAATTTATTTTTTCTTTAGAAAAGTTTTCATATTACATAGTAAAAAAGGTGAAAACAATTCTTTTCTAAAAAAGAACTTTTAAATCATATAATTTAAAAACAAAAAATGATTTTTAAATTATACCATTTGAAAACTAAATGATTTTTCAGATTATAATCTGAAAGTTAAATAAATTTCGAGTTCAAAATTCAAAAATCATTTTTAACTTTTAAATTACATATTCCAGAAAAGTCAAAAACGGAATTTTGTTTACATGCTAATCCAGAGATAAATTTGTGGCGGTACAAAAATAAAATACCTCAAAAGTAAGTAAATATGTAAAGATAATGAGTTCGTACGAAAAAGAAAAAAAAGAACAAAAATAAGTTCCGACTAAACTGTCACCCTGAAATTACTGTGAAACAGAAATAGTAAAAAGATTACTAGGTCCAGTTTAACATAGAAAAAGCCAATCTGGTAGTAAAAATGTTAAATAAAATTATTTTCGGAGAACAAAAAAGGTAATAATATTGCCTGTATTTTTTATATATTTAAAATTTAAAAAATATAAATTTTACAATTTAAGTTAAAAATTAAATATAAAAGCAATTAATTATTTGTCAATCCCACCAAGTTTGCTGATAATAAGAACTGTCGATCTTTATCACCTGGAAGATAGTCCATAATTTCCATTTTCATGGTGTGCTCAATGTGACAGTGAACACAAACCAGTGAGTGCTACCCATTGGGTTAAGTTGTTATCAACATTTCAACCACTCGATCGAATTCTGAAACGTCGCATGATTACAACGCCACGGAGATTGCAGCATAGTTCGTGAGGCAATTCAGAGCCGAATTGCCTCTCAATTCACCTACCCATGAACTGTAACCATGCCACCTTCATTTCGGTCTCATTCCCGCCACCAAGTTCCGTGCTTTTCCCAAAACGCACTTCCGCAATCCTCACGCCGAAGAAAACCCTTTTGGCCAGGAACGTGAGACTCAGAGTCAGAGCAAGCGCTTCAAAGGGTGATGGTAATGCTCAGGCAGCAAATTGGTCCCAGTGGGTCCCCGTAGGATCTTTCGCCGCCGACAAAGTTTTCAGATTGATCGCCGGCGCCACAGCCAGTCCCATTGGCCAGTTTGTTGCGTACCCCACCACGTTTCTTCACTCTGTCGACCCTCGAGTCAAATTGGTCAGTCATGTATTATCAATGTCGGCACTTAAAGCTTGTGCTTTTATCTATTATGTTTTCTGCTGAGTTTTGATTATCAAGAAATAAACGAACAATTTGGTCTTTATCCTCTTTGTTAAATAATCTTCCTTGTACTTATAAAATTATGTAAGTAGTAGTCTCTACAATACTAGAAGTCATGTCGCAGAGTTTCTTAAGTAATGAAAAACATTTCAAATTTAGTCTCTTATATGAAATAATCAACCGAGGAACTAGATTGATGGCTATTCAATATTTAAGAACTATCCAGGAGAAAATGTCATACTTAGGGACTAAATTGATGATTTATTCCATAGTAGATGTTAACTGACCAGTGTTTTAGTTTTGGGTTTGCAATATTTTTTTTATAAGAATGGGAAAATGAAACTTGTGATGACTGCTATGATCATCGTTTTATTAGAGAAATTGGTGAATGCATTCTGTGAACTGAGAGAGTTAAGTGAGAGTGTTATTCCGCATGATACAAATATTTTAAGGCTGTGTTTGCTTTACCATTTGACCTCTCCTAGCCAAAGTTTTTTCAATAAACTCGGTTTGGTTTTTCTTAGAAATTTGTTTGCGCACTTATATTAGCCGTGTTTCAATTCGAAGCAATACCAAGGTTGCTTTTTAAAACCCAGTTTGCAAAATAAAATGCATTCAAGCTTATGACTAAAAATAATCCAAATGTGCGCAAAGTTTGTTCATGTAACCGTGGCTGTGGTTGGCTTCTGCTGACAGTAGTTTGTGATAGTTTTTGATAAAGAGAAATGCAACAACTAACCAGTAATTGAAACATAAGAATAAAGCATTGGGTGAGCCGATTCCGTTTACCATCTACGTATTGATCAGCCACAGAATTGGACTGGTAGTGAAGTTGCTTTTGGTACATGTTTGATTTATTTCACTTTGTGATGCTTAACGTCAGAGTTCTTATCAGCTATAAATTGCGGCAAATATTTTGACAGTTGTTAATACATGGGTTGTATAGCTGGAATGTTTGAATTGTTTGTTTTGGCTGCTTGGGTTATGTGTTTTTGTGACCAATCAGTCTGATTTCACAGGTATGGCTTTTAGCTCTGGTTGTTCTACCTGCAAGGTCTCACATAATTATGCGATTTGGATTAGTGATATACTTGACTTTGCTTTCAATGTGGGTTCTACCTAGAAATGCTTGGACGGTAAATAATTGTTAACCCTTCACTTATCTAACTCTGGAAGTGGGATCATATTAATATATGTATGGATTGTTCACATTGCTTAATTATGGTTGGTTGTTTATCATTAATTTCGGGGCTGTTGGAATTAATAGTCCAAGGATGTTTGATCTCTCAGTTAAAGCTTTGCATTGTGTTTCATTTGATGTTCACTATTTTTTTAACCATCATGTTAATTGCTTTTTCCTCTCTCCTCTATTCTAAATTGCTCATGGCATTTCTTATTCTTAATGCTTATCTATGATTTGAGTTAGCTCTTACCATATCATAAATGAGTTGGATTTTCCTTTATGTTGTGTTAAATCTATCTGGTTGTTGGCTGTTTATTCTATTTATTTATTTTTTCTTTTTTATCTTGAAGTGATGTGTTGATTGGAGAAATTTCCTGATAATTTCTCTTGTAGGATCAACTGGGAAGAGTTTATTTGCTATCTGGATTACTATTCATAACATTAGGGCTAGGTTCAGATGGTGTACCCGCACTTGTTCAGTTGAGAACGCCACCCCCTGCAATGATGGGGCTTCCTAATCTTCCTGTATCTTTATCAGGTTATGCGTATACAATCACAAAGTTAGGTCCATTAACATTTACCAGGAAAGGCCTATCTGTAGCAAGCACTGTTGCATGTTTGACTTTTACTGTAAGTTGTTCTCTGTATTTTTGCCATTTCTTTTCATTTACTGATGGAAGCTTCCTAAAACAATAGAATTTTTATGATTCTGACTTTCTGAGAATTTGGTCTGCATTTCTTTGGAAGGTATTTCAAAGTGCAAGTCTCTGCCTCACAACTACCACACCCGAACAACTAGCATTTGCATTACGATGGTTTATGCTCCCTCTGAGACACATCGGTGTTTCTGTGTCAGAAATTGTGCTTACACTTTTACTCTCATTGAGGTTTATCAGTCTCGTTTTTGATGAGGTAGGAGATTAAGGATTTTACGTACAACAGTATGCATTTGATAAACATAGTTTTCATCTGAATTTGATAAATATACAGCTTGTTTTAATTGTTTCAAATTTATATGCTTCCATGATTACTAAAACGACCATGCCCAGGCACAGGTGTGGTGCCTATTTTGATAGATATTGCTGATTGCTGATTACTGATGCAGTCTATTTTATTTTATTTTTATTTATTTTTAATTAGTGTTGCTGATTGCTTACTAGCTGCTGTGATGTGTTTGAATTATTGTAATAAACATTGCATCTTGTTGCAAGAAATTAGGGTTTTGGATGTTGTATTTGTTTATGAATAACGAATCAGAAAACTGTTATCTTAATTAATTGGGGCTGAGATGATTAGAGAAGTAAGACATGCTGCCGATAAATAATAGATGTGAGAAAGGGGTATCTTTTCAATTGAGAAGAGTTAGAGACTTAGGGTATTGGGAGGTTCAGTAAGGAACTCAGAGGGATCAAACTTATGGATGTTATGGGAAAGTAAACAGAGCGGTACAAGATATCTTCCTGATTTCTACAATTTTGAAGTACAACCAAACAGGAACGAGACAATGTCTCCTTTAATAAAGTTTTCAGTTGTTACTGATGTTTGTATTAGATTTAGCAAAGGCAATAAATAATTTTCAGAAAGACTGTTTATTAGCAATTTTTCATACTATGGTGGCAAGGTTGGCCTAGATATTAGCAATTTCAACACACAAGTAGATAATAGTAATAAATATGTGAATTAATAAAAATTCTTTGGCAAATGGAAGTAAAATTGGACATTTCGTCAACTTAAACTTTTATGCTTAATCCATTCATTTTCCTTTTTCTGTACTCTTTAAAATCCATAATTCATATTGTTTTGTTGCAGGTCCGGAACATTGCTTTGGGGATTGTATCCCGTAGGATAAATTGGAAGCAGCTGACTGTTATGGAGACCATTGATAGTAAGTAAATATGCAAAAAATGTTGTTCTTTTTTATAATCATTTCTCGACTTTCCAGCTAACTAGGTGATGGATATTATTTGGTTAATAATTTTGCATAAAACTCATTTAGATTCTTTAGAAGAAAAAGTATTAACTCGCACCAAATCACAGAAATGACCAGTTTCTTGCTATTCCAGAGTTTAGACACCCAAAGATTATCTTTATCCAGAAAACTACTGAACTCCTCCCTGTCTCCCAACACTACCACAGCAATAAAAACGAAAAATATTTAACTGTCTGCATAATTAATATTGTACCGGTCGTACATAATTGTTTGTTTGCATAATTAAATATGTAATTTTCCTAAAGTCCTACATAAAGCCCCATGGTTGAGCCCCACATTCTACACCCTCTTCTAGAATATACTTTCCAAACACAAGGTTACTGGAACGAGTATAAGTACTGTCTGATGAGTAGTCTAGGCTTTAGAAATTGATACAATGGAGTGCTTATCGTAACACATTTGTTGTGTATTTCGATTATAAGGATAATTATACTGGTAATCGTCATCTTTGGCTGCCTATTCATGAACTAAGTTTACTTTTCTTTGAATAGCACTTACATTTTGATGTTATGTGGCATGGATCTTATACTCATAGTTTATCTATTACAGTTGTTCAACCATTTTGTTATATTAAAATGACAGTATTTAAAAAATTGTCAATATTTGGATTGATACCATGAATTGCTACGTTTACCTTATATGACATGTTAGTGTAATGAACTATGCTAGTCTTATTCTAAACACAATAACGAATGCCAGTTTAATAATCTCAACGAACTTTCTTCTCTGTAATGCTAACAGGCACATGTACCTCCTTTTAAATGACAGTATGATAGCAAAATAGGAATTTTTTTGCATGTAGTATAATTAGGATTTTATATTATATGATAGATAGTTTGTACTGGAAACTTAGTTCTGCAATGGACAAGCTATTCTTAATTAGGTTAATGTTCAATAGATTTACACTAGACTTAAGGCTTTTATTTGAAGATATTTCTTCATTTGTCCTTATTCTTTTGTTTTCCCCTATATGACTTTGCAGTTTTTTTTAACTACTTCCGGCGCATCTTCAAAAATATTTTCAGCCATGCAGATCAAATTTCTCAGGTTTATCTTAAATTTACATAGTATTCTTCTTTGTCTAGGTTTCCTTGAAATTCTTCAACCTTATCATATTTGCAACTCATTCTTGATCTGTGAATTTGTTTAAAATTCATAAACTATTTTGAAGGCTTTTCAGATACAAGCTTTCACTGGTGTTACCTTCAGTTCCCACATATGAAAAGTGACCCAGTTAGAAATGTATTCTTTTGTTTATTTCATAGTTTGAACTCTATGTGGATTTCATTAACAATGCTGAGTTTAGAAAATATATACTTTTATTAAATTAGTCAAGCATGTTACTGTATTCAATTTCCCTGGACATCTTGTGGACTGACCTGGAAACACTAATCTGTTGTTATGATTGTGTTCTGATAGTTTAACATAAAATACTGCAGGCTATGATAGTCAGAGGTTTTAAAGGGGATAGTGGCAGTCACAAAATTTACTTTTTGTCAGAATCATCCTTTGGGATGGTAGATGCTATATGTTTGCTGTTCTTGACAGTTCTCATAGGAGCTGCTCTCCTGTCTGAGTACTACCTTGTCTAACAATATATTCCACTCCATCTGTAAGAGCATTCTAGAGTGATGTTATGTTTTTTCATCATTAAGTTAATTTGTCATCTTTCTGTTTGCATGTGAAAAATTAGTATCACATGTGTATGTTCAAGGGCAAGGGGATTTTGTCAGGTTGTGCAGTTTTTCCATAAAGATGGAAAGATGAACTGAGGAAAATGTGGATGGTTTTGGTATGTTTTACCAGAGATCTAGTGGATTGACACTTTTTATGACATTTCTTCCCTACCAGTTTGTTTCAATTCAAATCTTTTTATAAAAGGTTCAAGCAGTATTTTCATGACCCATTATGTCAATGGGCTAAATTATTTCGTAAGCATTTCTAAAAGATAGAAGAAGGAAATATGAAATAATCTTTCTATAAATTAAACAAATCTTTATAAAAGCTTTTATAGGAGAACTTTTACAAATTAATTTATACGTAAAACACAATTTAATTAAAATTAAGAAAAACTGGTTTATTTAGATAGTCTAATGCATTAAACTATCGAGGTTATTTCTTTGTACTAGTTTGTTTTAGTATCCTAGTATATAAAAATATTAGTGTGTCGTTGTCGTAATATGTCTAGAATTTATTAGTGTGTAATATTCAGTGTGTTGACAACTTTTATGTATAAGTTTCAGTATGAAAGGTAATTCTTACCTGAGATAATGAAGTCAAAGACTAGCATAAGATTCATTTAAAAATAAAATATCACATAAGTAAAAGGCTCGTGGTGATGTGTGGGGCAGTCAATATTCTCTGTAAGTTGACTTTGACTATAACAAATGTTGACTTTGACCGGATTTAGAATGGATTTAGAATAGACAACCGTGACGTTGAACGATGATAAATCTTGGACGCATAGTTGCTCAAAAGAGAAAGAATAGACGTATTTTTCCATCTCTAAACATAGAAGAGAAGAAGAAGATTGAGTGGAATAATGAATATATTTTTCTTTTTTGAATAGTATTTTTTAAAATTAAAATACTTATTTTATTGATTATATCTTTTAAGTATTTATTTATTTAAATTTAACTATTTTTTATTTGGTAGTCCTTTAAAACTAAAATATTTACTTATAATAAAATATACTTATAAAATAAATAAAAATTATTTATAAAAAAATTACATTTATTTTTATAATTATTTATAAAAATATAATATTTCTTAATATACATACAATCAATTTTATTCTTATTATTGTAAAACTATTTTATTAGTTAATTTAACTTTTTAAATTTTATAATCATTATAAGATAAAAGTGGACAAACATGTATTCCACTAATAATAATAATAATAGTATAAATACCAGTTTCTTTGTGCAATATTAATATTGATTAAAATATCTTCAAAATAGTATTTTTATAGTTCAATAATTCTGAAATAAAAGGTTACTGTTTATATATGAATCATTAATGTCAAATTATATTAGTTGAAGGGTGACTTTATTAAGCCAGACAATGATTGCACGTGTACCAAATATAAAGGCCAACGGTTTTTAGTTGGTAGCTAGACAGTTTGGTTTCATTTAATTGAAAAATTAAATTGAGAAATGAACATTTGACACCTAAGATGAAATATTTGAAAATGATGTATACAAAATTTAATATTAATAAAACAAAAATTGTAATGAACTTAATTATTAACAAATTAAAAAACAATAATTATATAATATTTTATTTTAATCTCTCCCTTTACACAACAGAAATAGAAGAAAAGAATGGGTATATATATTTTATATTATGTCATAGATGTAAAGTAATTATCTATATAATTAGAAGAAAATATGGACTATATTTTCTTTTAATTATATTTTTTTATTTATAAAATTTGAATTTGATAACTTTTTCAAGATTCATTTTAGTATTTCCTATGTTGTGAAAATGTGAATTTTGTCTTTATTGTACTGATTTAGAACAGATTTATTAATTTGAAGGGTTTTAGATTAGCAATAAATAAATAAAAATTTAATTGAAAATTTTTGTTTTTATAATATATATTTGATTTGTTTTGATTTTTAAATTTATTTTTAATTTAATTGAAATTTATTTTTGTAAAAAGATTTAATATTATATTTGATGAAATCAATATTAATATGTTTGAAATATCAGGTGTCAAAAATTTAGATATATTACATATAAAAATCTGAATCATCTTTTTATTATGAAACCTTTTTATGTTGACATGTGACATATTATAAGGAAAAAATTATTCTATTTTTATATATGTTAAACCTAAATTTTAATATACAAAAAATTCAAATTTTAACTGTGAAAATTTTAAATTGCATTAGTGTTAATTTAGTGGAAGGACCACATTTAATCTTTTTTACAAAAATAAGAATCTAATGTAAATTTTTAAAAAAAGTTAAATTTAGTAAAAAAAATATAATATCAAAACAAATTAAATATTAAATATAGAAATTAAATTAGTAATTAAGTCTAAAATAGTTTGTAATTCCAAAATAAAATTAATCCCTAAAATATTAAAATCCAAATGGTTAAGTTGATTGGTTGTTAAGAGAGTGAAGGTGAATAACACTGAACATTGATGTTCAAGAAAAGAACAACCATAATTGTAATCCAGAAAAGGTTGAAATTAGCTTTGGACAGTGAAATGAAAAAAAAAACAACCACAAGAGGCCATCCACCTTCCTTTATGAACTCCCAAGTCTTGATTCTTTAATACCTAATACATCTTTTTCTTCTTTTCTTAAGCAAAATCGTGAACATCTTTAAAATATATATATATATATATATATATATATATATAAAAGTAATTTTTTAAGTTTTTAATTAATTAATTAATGTCTTCATATGAAGTGTAGATGATAAAATTCAAGTAATGATTTAAGTGTTTCTAATGATTAGAATCAATTAAAGAGAATATTTGTCAGAACCATTAAAACGCATCCCAAAACCCCACCTGTCAGACCACATTAAAAACGCACCCAAAACCCTCTGAGCGGACGCCAGATGTCAAGTAACGAGAATCTGAAAATTAGATAGTGGAGTGCAGGTGTCAGTAGCTGAGCGGACGTTCGTTTTGAGTAAAACTGAGTTTTTGAAAGTTACGTCACACTCTTGCTGCATGCACCTTCTTTTCCAAGACTCTGACCTTCCATTTTCTCCTCCTTCTCTCTAGAAACTTCCCCTTCTCTCTAACAAAACTCACCCTTTCTCTAATCCGATCAAAGTTTAGGCACCGTGGAAGCACTACAGGCGTCCCAAGCTTCATTTTGAACCGAACAAGTTTCAAGTTTGAACGGGTAAGTGTATCTGTCTTTAGTCGTTTGTTTCCGCTACATGCAAACCAAGTTCTGGTTGCATGCGGGCATGTAGACTAAGTTATTTTTGATCTCATGTTGTTTGGTTTAGTTTGAAGAGTTGTAGATCGTTGAGAGTAGAAAGATTTGTAGTCGGACGAACCAAAACCTATTCTTAGGACGTTCAATCACGTATCCAGGTAAGGGAAGCTTATCTAATTTAATTGTATGTTCTTGCACGTTCGTTGATAATGAATGTATGTTGTTGAGTGGTTGAATGTATGTATAAAGTATGAATAATGAAATGGTTGTTGATGTGAAATATGATTTCTTAGTATGATATGAATTTTATAAAGTTATGAAATTATGTATTGATAACCGAGTTGAATATAAATGAGATCTGAATATGAATTCCCCTATGATATTGTACGTTCGTCATTGAACGGTCATTGACCGTTCGGTGTTTTTATTAAACTTCTTTGAAATGAAATTCTTTCATTTGGGAAGAATTCTAGTTGAGGACGAGCTCCTCCTTGTAATAGTGCTATGTTTGAACTTTCGGCCAAAAGTAGATGTACCTGAGTGTTACGTGTGGAACTGAAAATATTGTAAACATGTATTTGTGTATTTACTTATTCCTCAACACTGTCTCCAATGTGTCTTATCATAATTATTATTATTGATGTTTCTATTATAATTTAAATTAGTGATAGGTCTCAACACAAGCTCTCGTAAGGAGTGGTGCTCGGTCTTATACCGAACGCTCGTACTCGTTTTTTTTAATTTATCAACCTTGATAAAACAGCGTTCGTCCAATTTCAGTAGAATCTCCTTTACTGTGTTCGGTCATTGACCGACATTAGGTTTCTGTATATGAATTATTCTAAATATGGTTCTTTAATGTCTTGACGTGTCTACATTCATTGTATCCGGCCTAGAGCCTCCGTACTCGATTTATTCTTTGAGTATTGGTTTGAACTTACGATAGTCAGTTCATTCAACTGATTCACATGGTAAATAACGTTCGTCATATGGTATATGATTGTACTCGGTCTATTCCTAAATATATTAGTAACCCTTTCAGTCTTATTCTAATATGGAACGGGCGACTTCTCGGTCTCGTTCTTAGTGTTCAATCCTTGTTCTGAGTGAGGACTGAACGTTCGGTATTTAAAGTTATTAGAAATTGTGATAACGATGAAATTAAAATGATGGGTAATAAATGATGAAGAGTATAGAGACTGATGAAATGATGCGAAATATGAACGAGCGTTCCGGGGAGGAACGACTCATGTTTAAATTTTGAAATTTGGTAAAGTATGACTGTGGTAATGCTAAGCTGTCGTTTCATCCTGATGTTCCGTGAGTACTCGTCCTCATGTAGAGGAGGGTAGGTCATGTGTGGGAACGACAGGAGGTCCTAGTCCTTAGGGGTACTTTGGACAGATAGGGCTAACCTCGTGTGGCAGCTGTTGAGTGTATCCTAGTTACTACACCACCCGGGTGCACGAACATCGTAGCTACACAGATATCATACAGCCCGGACAGTCAGTCTAGTGATAGTTTTTGTATGATACATATGTTGAATTTCTCTTGTGTGGGATTGTTTAATATATATGTTGATGTATGAATTAAATTACATAAGCTTACCCTGTGTTTTCCTTGTGTTGTCTTGTTGTACGTCCGTCCTTATCATTGCAATGATCATCTGTGTGGATGTGAGCAGAAGGAGACGCGCTACTAGAAGAGGCGCTGGAAGAAGAGAACTTGGTAGATGTAGAGGTGAAAACCGAACAGTAGGATGTTCGGCTAATATTTTGGTTATTGGGTAAGGTGGTCGTTATATCACCTTTTCTTTTCTTTTGTATGACCGTTCGGTGTTGGTTTTGTAAACCGTTCGGTCAAATTTCGCTTATCTTGTACAGTTAAGATTGTAATTATAGTTAAGGCCGTTCGGCCGTAACCGTATGTTCTTTTAAATGTTAAGACTGATATGAGTTATTATTAATCGTAAATATTCTATTATATGGTTTATTGCTATATTTTTGGAATGTCACAATATTCCTCTTAAAAACTGACGTTTAAATTAACAAGAAAATTTTAAAATAAAACTTTATTTTATTTTTTATTTTATAAAAATAAATTTGATTTACTCAAATAAAATTAGATGTTATAAAATTGGATGTTGACACATCTGTTAATCAAATCACATAAAACATCTATCTTTCTAATACATAATTTCATATATTTTAAATATTTTTCATTTATGTTCAATTATTTTACATAATCCCTTATCATCAACCATACCATGTTTATTTAATTCCATTTCTCAATAAATATATAATAAAATGGTTTATTTAGATTCTTCAAATCATATATTATTGTAGAGAGGAATGTTGCATACATCCTACATCTTCATCCTCACAACATTGCCATCAATTTCTTGTAAATCTGCATTGAGATACGGTCAAATCTTATTAATACACTTTCTACATAACAATAAACCAGTTTAGAAATCTTGTGTATAATTTTCATTGTGTTGACCATTTTATGTATAAGTTTCATAAACGTACTTCTTACCAAAGATAATGAGATCAAAGACTCGCATAAGATTCATCTAAAAATAAAACATCACATCAGTAACATGTCTCGTCTTATTGTTTCAGAATTTGAAAATTATAAAAAATAGAAATAAAGTTATTAAAGTTGATCACCAACTTTTATTTTATTTGTAGGATATTTGTATGGTATGGCATTGTCTTACTGATTTTAAGACTTCTCAAGTTTCGAAGTAGTCCAAGACACTAAAACTTTGTTACGGTATTCACTTAAAGCCCATATCGAAAAATAACTTCTATAGAGTGGATAATGAAGCAAACAACTACTCTTGTATGCTCCCACAGTCTCCTGCAACAATGCAACAATTAAGTCACACAAAAAATTACATAATACATAAATTAGTCATAATTCAAAGGATAGAGATTTGAGAGGTACTTGTTGGGGCCAATCACCATCTTCAAGCTGAGAATTAATGAGTAACTTTGCAGCACGATGAAGAGGTGTTGGATCTCTCTCGGCCTACCATGACACATTCAGAAAAGGAATATCAACAAATACTTTAAATAATATAATAAACTATAGACGTTGAAATCCAGCAGATGCACATGAAGAAAATACCTGTCCGGCGTGAATTAAAGCCATTAGAGCCCAAGCTGTTTGANTATTTTATTTGTAGGATATTTGTATGGTATGGCATTGTCTTACTGATTTTAAGACTTCTCAAGTTTCGAAGTAGTCCAAGACACTAAAACTTTGTTACGGTATTCACTTAAAGCCCATATCGAAAAATAACTTCTATAGAGTGGATAATGAAGCAAACAACTACACTTGTATGCTCCCACAGTCTCCTGCAACAATGCAACAATTAAGTCACACAAAAAATTACATAATACATAAATTAGTCATAATTCAAAGGATAGAGATTTGAGAGGTACTTGTTGGGGCCAATCACCATCTTCAAGCTGAGAATTAATGAGTAACTTTGCAGCACGATGAAGAGGTGTTGGATCTCTCTCGGCCTACCATGACACATTCAGAAAAGGAATATCAACAAATACTTTAAATAATATAATAAACTATAGACGTTGAAATCCAGCAGATGCACATGAAGAAAATACCTGTCCGGCGTGAATTAAAGCCATTAGAGCCCAAGCTGTTTGACTAACATGTGATCGATGTCCTTCAAGAGGGACGTATGTCTTCATTTCACATTGCCGTTAATTAATATTTTTCATTTATATCACAGCTAATGGAAATTGTAATAATATTTAATGATTTAATTACATACCTTCATATGACATGAAAGATAACTTTCTCCCCAACCACCATCCTCGTTCTGTATTGAGAGTAGAAATCTGACAGCTTTACGAATGGTGGCGCAGTTAGTGTAAGTCTTTCCAGCAGCAGCTAAACCTCCGAGTGCGAACCAAGAACTGTAGGTGAAACAAACTGCCCAGATCCCAACCCAAGTTCCATTTGGTGATTGTTCATCTTCAATGTACTTAGCTGCTTTCACAATTAACCTCTCTATCTCTTCCCTTCTATGATTTGGATATAGCTTTTTAAACAATACTAAAGCCTGAATTGTTGATCCAGTACACTCAATATACTCGTGCTCAACCACTATGTCAGCAAGAAATTCCGCCGGATTTAGATTCTACAAATTAATTAAAAAATAATAATAATAATGAAATCAATATCAAGAAACAAATTTATACACAATGTAGAAATCAACTATTCAAACTTACTTCCAACCACTTCTGACCTAATGCAGCCTCCCATGCTGCCAAACCTCCATTTTTGCTCTGCAGTAATCAAATTTGTAAAGAGATCATATACAAGCAATTTAAATGTGTGGAAACTTCAATGAGGAAAAAATATTAAAACAAATTAAAGAAAAAATGTGCACAATTTTAGCACTACAAGGATCTGTGATGTAAAAAAAGATTAAGACGACAGACCATTGATTATCAAATTAATCATATAAAATTTAAAAATGTACTCCCACAAATCTTTATAGTACTATACCTGAAGGGACAACAGAAAATTGACCGAGTCATATAACCGTTCAGGTTCTAATTTTTGTCCAACAATCTCTTCTGGCAACATTGATAAAAGTAAACAACACTGAAACAATAACGATTGGTTAGTTAGAACCACGAAACCTATACTTGTTGTTATTCCTGAAATTTTTTTAACAAATTAAAATGTTTGTAACCTATGCAGTTAAATACCTTGAGACATTCTGCAGTGCCGTCAGAAAGTTGTAATCCGTTGTCTCTGTCAGCCAAGGTCCATGCCCCTTTAGAAATGTGATGAAACCTACTCTTGAAATCTCCTGGACGATTTTCTACTACCTATAATATTAACGTATCAATTCATTGTTGCGTAATAAAGCCAATCAATTATGAATTTATTCAACATTAATTTATTTTCTCCTACCTTTATTTTATCTTTAAAATCAATTCTTATTTAAGTATATGGTTTCTTGTTTGTTATACATTGTAATTTTATGCATGGTATACTCACCTGAGATTTCTTGATAAAATCATGTGCTTTTTCAAGAGTTGGACCAAGTTCATCAATTAGACCCGTAGCGAGAAAAGCTTGAACGGCGAAACCAGCATCCCATGTTTGCGTATTAATTGCCTACATTATTTAGACAATTGGTTTAATTAAGTTATCATCTTCATGATTATCTTAATATTAGTGACTATAAATAAGGTGATATTAATTGAGTTGTATTTATATACCGGAACACACATTCCATCTTCTGAAAGTCATATATTACCTGAGAAGTTTATGTTGTATCTTGGAGAGTTTGCGCAATATATCGCGGATAAGTCTTTAAAAATAGTGATCTACATGCCTCAGAAAGTCTTTTGTATGTGATCTTTATTCTATTATTGTCAGCTTCTACAACAATTATTTCTGAGTTCTTCATATTATTTTGGAGAGTAGGGTTGAAGTTAACAATCCAATAGTCCAATATTCAGTAAATTTTCTAAGAGTAATAACTAAAAGTAAACATTATTTTATATAATAAAATTAAGCAACAAATAAAATGTTAAAGAAAATAAAAATAATTCAGATATTTTTTTAATGTTTTTATATGTAAAATTAGAATCGTGTAAAAATAATAAAAATTATTTTAACAAAACGAAAATAGTTCTATAGATAGAACAAAAATTAAATAAAAAAATAAATCAGATGATTTTTTATATTACCCACCTAGACAGATTTATTTACCATCATTATCATTGGTCATGATTCGAAGATAGAGTGAAAATGGAAAACGGAATCGACGGAGATGGTGGGTTCGATTTGTGAGGATAATGACAGGTCTGAAGACGAGGGAGATGAAGATATACTGTTTCTGTTTGATGGTGGGAAGATCATTCTGTAAAAGTGCTGTGGAGAACGAATGATGATGGAGATATGAAGGTGAAGATGGTAAAAGTGAAACGTGCTTGTGTGTGATCTGATGATGATGAAAAATGGACTCAGTGAATGGCAATGGCAAAAAGGATGAAAACGTGTCCCAGGCCTCATATTTGTGCAATTACAAATAACAGAAAGTGAAAAACTGAGTGGACAGAATTTTGTTAGGGGTGCAAAGAGAAATTGTGGCTGTGGGAACATGAAAAACGAATGGAAATATAATAAAAAAATGTGTTGGGCTTCAAAAAGGTTTAAACAGAAAAAATTGGGTCTGGATGGTAACAAGTGAATTGGGTCCGATAAAAATTAGATACAAGGGAATAAATGAAAGCTTTGCCTTTCTGTTTTATTTTCTGAAAATTTAGACCAAATAAATTAGTCCAGGTTTGGTTTTTATTTTTTTTTCTTTCTCCTTTTTTTTTCTCTTCTTTTCCTCTAGCTCATCATTTTTTTTTCACTTTTTCTAATAAATATTTTAGCTTATTTAAAACGAAATATTATCCGCATTTTTTTTATTTTATCTATTTTTTTTATACCTTTCTTAGATTTAATTGAACATTTATTTTTTATTTCTTAGAAATAAATTTTATTTACTGTGATAAAATTCAATGTTGAGACATTTGTTAATCAAACCACAAAAAACACCTATTTTTCTAATATATAATTTCATATATTTTAAACATTTTTCATTTATGTTCAATTATTTTACACAATCACTCATCATCCAACCATACCATGTTGTTTATTTCATTCCATTTCTCTATGTCAATTACACAATGCAATGGTTATAAACTGGTTTATTTATATTCTCCAAATCATATATTGTTGTAGAGAGGAATGTTGCATACACCCCAGAGCTTCATCCTCACAACATTGCCATCCATTTCTTGTAAAACTAGATTTCCACCATCTGCAATGAGATACGGTCAAATCTTATTAATACACTTTCTACATAACAATAAACCAGTCTAGAAATCTTAGTGTATAATTTTCAGTGAGTTGACATTTTTATGTATAAGTTTCAGTATGAAACGTACTTCTTACCTGAGATAATCATATCAAAGACTCCATAAGATTCATCTAAAAATGAAATATCACATTAGTAGCATGTCTCGTTTTATTGTTTCAGAATTTGCAAATTATAAAAATAGAAATAAAGTTATTAAAGTTGATCACCAACTTTGATTTTATTTGTAGGATATTTGTATGGTATGGCATTGTCTTTCTCATCTTACGACTTCTCAAGTTTAGGAGTAGTCGAAGGCACTAAAACTTTGTTACGGTAGTCACTCAAAGCCCATAATGAAAAATAATTTCTATACAATGAGTAATGAAGCAAGCAACTACCCTTGTACGCCCCCACGGCCTCCTGCCACAATTAAGTCACACAAAACATTAAACAATTTTGGTGAAATTATATTACATAATACATAAAATAGTCATAGTCATAATTCAAAGCATAGAGATTTTTGAGAGGTACTTGTGGGGGCCAATCGCCATCTTCTAATTGAGAATTAATGAGTAACTTTGCAGCACGATGAAGAGGTGTTGGATCTCTCTCAGCCTAAATGACACATTCAGAAAAGAAATATCAACAATTACTTTAAATAATATAATAAACCATAGACTTTAAAATCCAGCAGATGCACCAATACCTGTCCGGCATGAATTAAAGCCATTAGAACCCAAGCTGTTTGACATACATTTGATCGATTCCCTTCAAGAGGTGCGTACGTCTACCATGTATATATACATTCATTAACATGTAATAAATTAATAACGTATAATGGATAATGAATATTTTAGTAACTGCTTATGACATTACTTATAGTGACAAGTATCCATTAAGCCGTTAAATATAAAAATAATAATTTATTATTGTATCCCTTTAGTCCTCCCAACCTAATCAAAATTAAGTTTTCCGCTTCTTATTCAAACAAGTCATTTAGAAAAAATAGTTGTTTTCCTTCCTTCTCATAATGTTTCATTTGAAAAATCCCACACTCGTTCACCTCATTGGAGTCGACAATCTCACCACTATCACCAGCGCTGAACTCCTCTCTTCTTATATGAGGGTTTAAAATAATAAAGTTTAAAATAAGATTATAACAATTAACTATAAGAAAACAAAAATCCTATGATTGAGGAAGTATAATGCTAAAGATAACTTTGAAAATGAAGGTTCAAAAAATAAAAAAATAAATAAAGAAGCAGCTAAAGATAATGCAAAAGATAAATATTTTGACATCATTGTAAATACAAATTAGTTAAAAACTAATTTAATTATTTTACTACATTTATTAATATGCATAAGTATTAACATTTAAGCTAAAAGAAATTTAAAAAAAAAATACCATTTAATTACATACCTTCATATGACATGAGAGATAACTTTCTCCCCAACCACCATCCTCGTTCTGTTTTGAGAGTAGAAATTTGACAGCTTTACGAATGGCGGCGCAGTTAGTGTAAGTCTTTCCGGCAGCAGCTAAACCTCCAAGTGCGAAACAGGAACAGTATGTGAAACAAACTCCCCAGATCCCAATCCAAGTTCCATTTGGTGATTGTTCATCTTCAATGTACTTAGCCGCTTTCACAATCAACCTCTCTATCTCTTCCCTTCTATGATTTGGATATAGTTTTTTGAACAATACTAAAGCTTGAATTGTTGATCCAGTACACTCAATATACTCGTGCTCAACCACTATGTCAGCAAGAAATTCCGCCGGATTCAAATTCTACAAATTAATTAAAAAAATAATAATAATGAAATCAATATCAGAAAACAAATATATAAACATTGTAGAAATCAACAATTCAAACTTACTTCCAACCACTTTTGACCTAACGCTGGTTCCCACACTGTCAAACCTCCATTTTTGCTCTGCAATCCGAATGAGTGGAAACTTCAATGAGAGAAAAATTTTAAAAATAACAGAAAAAATGCGAATAATTTTAACACTACGAGATGTCTGAAGTAGACAAAGATTAAGTCAACATACCATTGATTACCAAATTAATCATATAAAATTTAAAAGTGTGCTCCCACAAATCTTATAGTACTACCTGAAGGGACAACAGAAAATTGACAGTGTCATATAACCGTTCAGGTTCCAATTTTTCTCCAACAATCTCTTCTGGCAACATCGATAAAAGTAAACAACACTGAAAAATGAATGATTGGTTAGTTAGAACCACGAAACATATACTTGTTGTTATTCCTGACATTTTTTAACAAATTAAAATGTTTGTAACTAAGCAGCTAAAAATACCTTGAGACATTCTGCAGTGCCATCAGAAAGTTGTAATCCGTGGTCTCTGTCAGCAAGGGTCCATGCTCCTTTAGAAAAGTGATGAAAGCTACTCTTAAAATCTCCTGGACGATTTTCTACTACCTATAATATAAAAATATCAATTTATTATCGCCTAATAAAACTAATCAATTATGAATTTATTCAACATCAATTTATTTTCTACTAACTTTATTTTTTCTTTAAAATCAATTCTTATTTAAGTATATGGTTTCTTCGATATTTTTCCAGTATTTTTATTACATAATATGTTGATTTAGTTTCGATAAATTATATAGTATTTTTTTAAACTAGCCGATGTGTAATATTTTAATAAACTATATTTATAGTTACGTTAATACATGAAACTATCAAGATTAGCATGTCAATTATACTAATTCAAAAATAGCATAATAAATAACTCGCAGAACCAAAATAAATTATTTATTAAATGAGATATGAAAATTTTGGACACTGGAAAAACGTATTTAATTCAATGTATAAGTTTATTAACTAAATAATCGTCAAGTAATTAGTTAATTTTTTGAAAAGTAATTAGTTACCGGACTTCATTATTTAATTACTTCAGTAATTCTGTAAATGAGCACTATCCGTCCAAAATAATCTGTTTGATGACTTATATATTTTGTAGAAGTTAGTTCACGCAATAAGAGTTCTTTTATTTATGGACGAAGCAAATAATTTAACTTAATGATATATTCACCTGAGATTTCTTGATAAAATCATGTGCTTTTTCAAGAGTTGGACCAAGTTCATCAATTAGACCCGTAGCGAGAAAAGCTTGAACGGCGAAACCAGCATCCCATGTTTGCGTGTTAAGTCCCTACATTATTTAGACAATTGGTTTAATTAAGTTATCATCTTCATGATTATCTTAATATTAGTGATTATAAATAAGGTGATATTAACCGAGTTGTATGTATACCTGTACACACATTCCATCTTCTGAAAGCCACAAATAATCTGGGACTCTTGCAAGATGCTTCTTAAAGGAATCTCCATTTGGATCGTGTACCCAAGAAGCAAGCAAAGAGCAAGACTACGAAACACAAACACGAAGCGAACGAAAACTAAAAATTAAAATTGGTGCATAGTATGAATAATAAAGATGTTTTTGAAATTATGATGATTAATTACCTTGTTGATACAGCCACCATGTATGTATCGAGTATTTTCATCTTCGTAGTGAATACCTTTAATTGCCACATCAAGTGCCTTTTCTCTGATCTTATTGAAAGGCCAGCGACTGAGAAGTGGCTCAGTCAAAAAATAAGCACTGTCCCATATTAAATCTTGTATCCAGTGATGCGGATAATACAGATCTTCCTGTCACCCAAACATTATCTTCATGTATTTTTTTTTTCTTAATTTTGAAATCATTTTTTTTCTTTAATTAATTAGTGTGCTTTTTACAAGTTAATCAAAAGAATTATAAAAGTTTAATTACCTTTGCACATTTGTGTCGAGCTTTTTTCCAAGTATTTTCATCGTAAGGTTCAGTAAAGAGTTCTTCTCTCAAATCCGTGATTAATGGAGTGACTGGACACACGAATCTTTTCCCATATATATATGACATGGGCATGTAAACATGTCGACAATAATACCACATTTTAGCTGCATTATTTAATTAAGGTGAAATTAAGATACAATAATACTGAATTTAATGATGAACTATTGTGTATATATTGAATTAACTAGTCATATTACTTAAATAGTGAAAAAATAAAATTAATTATTTAACCAGGATGCATGGGGAGAAAAGTAGGAAGTATCCAAAATTCAGGAGGCATTGGATTGCATCCACTCCAATCAACAATACCAAGTACCTGCATCAATAATATTATTTAAATTACTCACAAACTTACATTTGTTTATTTTGTGTGTTTTAAATCATATGAAAGCATGCATACCGAAAGCCAAAATTTCCCCCACGAAGGCATAAGTGTTATGGTACCATGATCATGAATCCACTGTCTGGCTTTAGCGCAAGCGTTGTTATGACCTCCGTTGGGTCCTTCTCCAAGAATTCTCATAGTTACGTAATTGAGAGCGGTACAATACATGGTGCTTGGACCTTCTATGTGTAATCCCCACCCTCCATCTTCGTTCTTCAAATGGTTACCAATAAGAACAAACTTTCAAATTTCACGACAGCTATATATAATTTAAAGATATAATAATTTCAACAAATGGAAAAGAAAAGGTGAAAAATAGCATGTTTGTTTTTCTTTCTTCAACAAGAAGTTCAGTTTGGTGTATTGAAGTTGAACAAGTGTACCTGATGATTATACAAGTAACGGAGAATTTCTTTACGATGTTCTTTTGAAATTACAGTATCAAGATGTCCTGTACTGTAGATGGAGATGATCTGCAATGTTTGACGCAAATAGAAATGTAATATTAAGTATAATATAATAGATTTGTTTTTGATAATTTTTTTATAGATAAACTCTAATTAATTAAAAGTGATAGTGAAGAACGAAGGTATTCAAGTATTGTTAAACTTACCATTACAGGAACAAAGAAGTTAGAACCCCCGAGTTGAGCAGGCCAATGACCATCACTAGTTTGCAGTGCAGAAAGGTAATGAGAAGCCCTCTTTATGGTCAGAGTAGCCTTCTCCCATGTAATTTCCTCATCATCTTCTATCTTCACTTTGCTTATTGTTTGTTTGAATTCTTTTTCCCTCAAAATCTGCACAAAAATTTAACATATATTTATATTATATATTTCATTGATACTTTCATTTTTGAATTAATTAATTATTAATGCATCTGAAGAATGAGGTTTTGTTGAGGATAAGAAAGAAGAAGTACCTGAAATCGCCAAAGTCGATCGGCACATGCCTTTTGCTCAAAGCGATTTTGATAGAAATGTTGACGAGCTGCTTCAACCTGTGCTCGTTCTTCATCAGTTCCTGCTTCAGAATCATACTCCCATATTTGCCTTCCTAAAAAGTTGTTTGTGCTGAATATGTAAGGACTCTTCCCTCCATCTGCTATCTTCAATCTCCACATTTTCTCAATAACCTTAGTTGCTCCTGCACCCTAAGATATACTTTAAATCAGTTAATATAACGGCAAATTATTAGTTCTTCACTCTAAATGTGATTTAAATACGACAAAGGGAGGAAGAAAGAACCTGATGAAGGATAAATCCTTAATTCTTCACTCTAAATGTCTTGAAGCTATAACAAATTGATTCAGGACTATCCCTTTACATTACATATATATATATATAAATGGGATGGGTGACCCCTACTTATTCAGATTTTAAATAGCAAGAAAGAACCTACTGCAAATTATAAAAAATAGATTATATATTATTTTATAAATTTGGTCTCTTTATTATCTTTACGAAAATAATTTTTTGAATTAATGTTAAATTTAAATATAACAAACGTAAAAAATCACATAATTTCAAAACTGGAATACTAAATTCTTCAATTTAAAAATGTAAAAACAATAAAAATGAAAAAGAAGAATACAGTAGCATATATAATTTTTCCATTTTTTATTACACCACCATTGTTACTACAAAGACGTGTATTTCTGTATATATTTTTTAAATTAAATATGTTTTTGTTTAAGTTGAAATTAGTTGTTGTTCCAAACTATATGATTTTGTTTTCTCCTCACCATTTTTACATTTTTTTAATGAACACCAACTCTTCAATCGGATTTGGCTTCAATACTTATTTCTCATTTTATTTTTCTTCATTTTGCTCTCTTGACTTGTCGACATCTTCTTTTTCTTATTGGAATAACACCTTACTTTTCTTTTCCAACCTCAATCAATATATAAGATAAAATTCATCTCTTTATTTCATCTTCTTCTAGATCCAATAATTCTATCTTTAATTAAGATACTAGAAGAGAGAAATTAGAGATTTGTAAACGATTTCTCCTTATAAAGATGGAGATAAAAAAAATTCTTTATAGTTTCATTCCAAAGAAGTCTTTGAGATCCTCATGTTTTCAAAACAATTTATTTCATTTTAAAAAATTAAAAATATTCATAGAGATAACATGTGTGACATATGTATAAACAATGTATGTCACAATAAAATGTCGTCTGCGGTTGAGTGAAAGGAATTAAATATATTGTTTTCTAAAATAAACACTACAAGAAAAATTAATATAAATAATTTGTTAATAAAATAAAATTATCCACAATTTATTGATAGTCAAAATTTGTAGATAAAAATATTGTTGGTAAATTTCACCAATAGAATCTTAATTTTGTTAGTAACTATCAACTTTTTTGTTAGTAAACTCATTAGTAATTATCAAGAGATTATTTTGTCAATAAATGCATTGATAATTATGGACGAAAATCAATAAATTTGTCAACAGTTATTTGTCAGTAAAATCCATCAATAAATATCACGATTTGATTTATCTTTTTTTCCGTTATTCTTTCTCGTTTTTATTTTATTTTTACCAATCTAGAAGAATAAACATATTCCAAACAAAATATCTTCAATCCAATTGAATCCTTCATTACAAACTTTGATAATATTATGGTGAAAAAATGATTAAGGTTCATGCTAAACAATACAAACTACGTCTCCAGGTAGTGATAAACGTTGACTTTAACCAGACTTAGAAAGGACAACGGTGACGGTGATAATTCTTGGACGCATAGTTGCCTAAAAGAGAAAGAATAGAAGTATTTTTCCCTCTCTAAACATGGAAGAGAAGAAGAAGAAGATTGAGTGAAATAATGAATATATTTTTCTTTTTTGAATAATATTTTTTAAAATTAAAATATTTATTTTATTGATTATATCTTTTAAGTATTTATTTATTTAAATTTAACTATTTTTTATTTGGTAGTCCTTTAAAACTAAAATATTTACTTATAATAAAATATACTTATGAAATAAATAAAAATTATTTATAAAAAAATTACATTTATTTTTATAATTATTTATAAAAATATAATATTTATTAATATACATACAATCAGTTTTATTCTTATTCTTGTAAAACTATTTTATTAATTAATTTAACTTTTTAAATTTTATAATCATTATGAGATAAAAGTGGACAAACATGTATTCCACTAATAATAATAATAATATAAATACCAGTTTCTTTGTGCAATATTAATATTGATTAAAATATCTTCAAAATAGTATTTTTATAGTTCAATAATTCTGAAACAAAAGGTTACTGTTTATATATGAATCATTAAAGTCAAATTATGTTAGTTGAAGGGTATTAAGCCAGACAATGATTACACGTATACCAAATATAAAGGCCAACGGTTTCTAGTTGGTAGCTAGACAGTTTGGTTTCATTTAATTGAAAAATTAAATTGAGAAATGAACATTTGACACCTAAGATGAAATATTTGTAAATGATGTATACAAAATTTAATATTAATAAAACAAAAATTGTAATGAACTTAATTATTAACAAATTAAAAAACAATAATTATATAATATTTTATTTTAATCTCTCCCTTTACACAACAGAAATAGAAGAAAAAAATGGGTATATATATTTTATATTATGTCATAGATGTAAAGTAATTATCTATATAATTTATTTTTTCACTTATTATGGACTATATTTTCTTCTAATTATATTTTTTTATTTATAAAATTTGAATTTGATAACTTTCTCAAGATTCATTTTAGTATTTCCTATGTTGTGAAAAGTGAATTTTGTTTTTATTGTACTGATTTAGGACAGATTTATTAATTTGAAGGGTTTTAGATTAGCAATAAATGAATAAAAATTTAATTGAAAATTTTTGTTTTTATAATATATATTTGATTTGTTTTGATTTTTATATTTATTTTTAATTCAATTAAAATTTATTTTTTGTAAAAAGATTTAATATTATATTTGATGAAATCAATATTAATATTGTTTGAAATTTCAGGTGTAAAAAATTTAGATATATTACATATATAAAATCTGAATCATCTTTTTATTATGAAACCTTTTTATGTTGACATGTGACATATTATAAGTACAAAATTATTCTATTTTTATATATGCTAAATCTAAATTTTAATATACAAAAAATTCAAATTTTAACATGTGAAAATTTTAAATTGCATTTGTGTTAATTTAGTGGAAGGACCACATTTAATCTTTTTTACAAAAATAAGAATTTAATATAAATTTTTAAAAAAAGTTAAATTAAGTAAAAAAAATATAATATGAAAACAAATTAAATATTAAATATAGAAATTAAATTAGTAATTAAGTCTAAAATAGTTTGTAATTCCAAAGTAAAATTAATCCCTAAAACATTAAAATCCAAATGGTTAAGTTGATTGGTTGTTAAGAAAGTGAAGGTGAATAACACTGTGGAGACTGAACATTCATGTTCGAGAAAAGAACAACCATAATTATAATCCAGAAAAGGTTGAAATTAGCTTTGGACAGTGAAATGAAAAAAAAAAAACAACCACAAGAGGCCATCCACCTTCCTTTATGAACTCCCAAGTCTTAATTCTTTAATACCTAATACATCTTTTTCTTCTTTTCTTAAGCAAAATCGTGAACATCTTTAAAATATATATATATATATATATATATATATATATATATATATATATATAAGTAATTTTTTAAGTTTTTAATTAATTAATTAATGTCTTCATATGAAGTGTAGATGATAAAATTCAAGTAATGATTTAAGTGTTTCTAATGACTAGAATCAATTAAAGAGAATATTCCTCTTAAAAAACTGACGTTTAAATTAACAAGAAAATTTTAAAATAAAACTTTATTTTGTAAAAATAAATTTTATTTACTCAAATAAAATTAGATGTTATAAAATTGGATGTTGACACATCTGTTAATCAAATCACATAAAACATCTATCTTTCTATAATACAATTTCATATATTTTAAATATTTTTCATTTATGTTCAATTATTTTACATAATCACTTATCATCAACCATACCATGTTTATTTAATTCTATTTCTCAATAACATATATAATAAAATGGTTTATTTAGATTCTTCAAAACATATATTATTGTAGAGAGGAATGTTGCATACATCCTACAGCTTTCATCCTCACAACATTGCCATCAATTTCTTGTAAATCTGCATTGAGATAGGGTCAAATCTTATTAATACACTTTCTACATAACAATAAGCCAGTTTAGAAATCTTAGTGTATAATTTTCATTGTGGGACATTTTTATGTATAAGTTTCATATTCAGTATGAAACGTATTTCTTACCTGAGATAATGATATCAAAGACTCGCATAAGATTCATCTAAAAATAAAACATCACATCAGTAACATGTCTCCTCTTATTGTTTCAGAATTTGAAAATTATAAAAAATAGAAATAAAGTTGATCACCAACTTTGATTTTATTTGTAGGATATTTGTATGGTATGGCATTGTCTTACTGATTTTAAGACTTCTCAAGTTTCGAAGTAGTCCAAGACACTAAAACTTTGTTACGGTATTCACTTAAAGCCCATATCGAAAAATAACTTCTATAGAGTGGATAATGAAGCAAACAACTACCCTTGTATGCTCCCACAGTCTCCTGCAACAATGCAACAATTAAGTCACACAAAAAATTACATAATACATAAATTAGTCATAATTCAAAGGATAGAGATTTGAGAGGTACTTGTTGGGGCCAATCACCATCTTCAAGCTGAGAATTAATGAGTAACTTTGCAGCACGATGAAGAGGTGTTGGATCTCTCTCGGCCTACCATGACACATTCAGAGAAGGAATATCAACAAATACTTTAAATAATATAATAAACTATAGACGTTGAAATCCAGCAGATGCACATGAAGAAAATACCTGTCCGGCGTGAATTAAAGCCATTAGAGCCCAAGCTGTTTGACTAACATGTGATCGATGTCCTTCAAGAGGGACGTATGTCTTCATTTCACATTGCCGTTAATTAATATTTTTCATTTATATCACAGCTAATGGAAATTGTAATAATATTTAATGATTTAATTACATACCTTCATATGACATGAAAGATAACTTTCTCCCCAACCACCATCCTCGTTCTGTATTGAGAGTAGAAATCTGACAGCTTTACGAATGGTGGCGCAGTTAGTGTAAGTCTTTCCAGCAGCAGCTAAACCTCCGAGTGCGAACCAAGAACTGTAGGTGAAACAAACTGCCCAGATCCCAACCCAAGTTCCATTTGGTGATTGTTCATCTTCAATGTACTTAGCTGCTTTCACAATTAACCTCTCTAT